AAACAAACAAAAATGATTATGGCTTCAAAGGGTTGATGATACATTTTCTATAAATTCACTAGAGAACACAAAAACAATGATTTAATTTAGCAGAGGGGCTTCTTTCTTAACTCTAAACATTGTTAAATACACTTGTAACATAAATTTGTTCTTCACATGAGGCTCTTTGGAAAGTACAGTTCCCTTCTAAATTCCTCTTAAAGACTACAATAAGTAGATATCTATTCCAGAAGACAGTTCTTGTATATGAAAAACAAACTGGCTTTACCTGTCAAAAAGTTTGACACGGATTTGAGTTGTTTCTGCAGCTTTGTGCAAACTGCTGACCTTGAACTGCTAATCTCCGTGATATACTTTGAGTTCAAAGAAAAAGCACTGAAGTGGAACCAAAGTGACTGAATGGGGTTACTGAAGCAGGCAGCAAGTGGAGCAATACTGAAAATGGCAGAGGTCAAAAATCTAAGGTTTCTTGTATAGTACTGCTTTTCTTCAAAAATGTCATGTAGTGTCTTAAAGTTATTTCAACTATCTGGTTGCAATTGGCTAGGTAATGCTTGACACAGAGCTGTAACTGAATTATTTTCTTCCAGGAATATGATGAATACTACTGAGCTAAATGTTTCCAAAATATCCAATTTTCAAATTTCAGAATGAAACTGCTGTGCTTTAAAGTTACTGACAGCATGGCTTGTCCAAGCCAAAGATGCAAAGGTAGAAACAAGATGGTTAATTTCACCTAGATATTTAATTTTCAGTTTACCAATAGTTTACTTTTCCTTTTACCAATAATGGAAATGTTGAAAAGAGAGAAATTCAGGATAAAAAGATGCAGGTAACTCCTTTGAATATCAAGTGAAAAACATTAAGCTTGTATCAATAAAATTAGGTAATTTCTTAAATTAAAATATAAGAAAATCAGGGCTGGTGAGATAGCCCAGCAGACTAAGTGCCTGCTTAGGCAAGCACAGGGACCAGAGTTTGATACCTGGCACCACACACCACACCAGCTCCACCCCGTGGGCATGCTGAGCCAGTCACCAAGTCCAGGTATACTGAAGCATGCCTGTAATCCCAATGCTGGGGAGGATGAAAACAGGAGGATCACTACAAGTCCAAGCTGCATAGTGAGACCCTGTATCAAATAGAGAAAATAATAAAAAAATGAAAATGCAAAATGTATCTAAGTATGAAAATATAATGCTACATATACTACAAAATAATGAAATTTCCTTAACATTTTTATCATTAGCTGTCACAGCTTTACAGAGTGTCCCAGTTATTCTTCTCTTATTGCTGTGACAAATACCTGACCCTCAAAATGAAGGAAGGAAAAAATTATTTAGCTCACAGTTACTGGAGGTTTCCATCCATACTTAGCTGGCTCTGAGGCAGAGTGGCACATGGCAGAGGACAGACAGCAAAGGGACTTCAGCTGCTCAGGCAGCTAGCTGCATTGTAATACCAGTTTCCTGCCCCTGGGTAGGTGCAGCACCCACCCCCACAGCATTCAATCATGCTCCAGAAGCTGCCCCATGACTGCGTGAGGCTTTGGGGACACAACTAGACACAAACCATAACATAGATCTTCATAATTTTATTTTTATTAGTCACTTGGAGACATTTGCTTTGAATTTGGCTGAAATGTTTAGATTTATCTTCTCACACACTTCATTGTTAATCAAACCTAATGATTAATGTTTGGATACAACAAGATCATCAACCAAAAGGTGATCTAAACCTCTTGAAACAAAGGGTGCTAATAATTCTTGAACTCTCCACTCCTTTGGGAAATCACCACTAAGGGTATGGTTACCCTTCCTGTGAGCGTGATATGCTTGCACACTTGGAATTTCCTTCACTAGGCTTCTGTTAGTGTTCACAGAGATTATGCAAGAAGTGATAAACAGAATGATGTAATTATGCACTTTTCTTATGATGTTCTCCACTGTCTTCTAAAAGAATATCAATTTGAATGACTCTCAGTTTTTAACTTGACTTACTCTTTCTTTTAATATAAATCATCTGCTACAAATGCTTTTATCTAAGTTAAAACAGCTCTCCGTTAGCCTGTTGTAATTCTCCTGAAAGGAAAATGCACTGCAGTTGCTCTGTGTAAGGAAGAGCTGTCCTTCTCAGAATCTTGATTCCCCACCAGCCAAATCAAGAGAGTGGGTTCTTCATAGGTGTCAATCTGTAATTGAGTTTGTTGTGATCATCAGCTCCCAACCCTGACCCTCCAGCCCTATTTATCTTTATTATGGCAAGATTTAATACTTTTCATGTGTGACAGTCTTTCCTTTTTTTTGTTTCTTATATGCATAAATTTCAGTTAAAATACTGTTCAGTTAAATAACACCTGGTCCTCAGCAGTATGGTTTACATTCAAATTATCACAATATATTCATTGTAATTAAGTGCACAT